CTATCCTTTCTATCCCACATCTGTGCCATGACCGGCTCTGCCTTTCCCCACCTCTGCAACATCTCCCGGCTTCGCCACTGTCTCACACTGCAGGCCGCCGAGACCCTCATACTCACATTCATAACATCCAGGTTTGACTACACAAACTCCCTGCTTGTCGGCCTCCCTAACTCCTCCCTCCATAGGCAGCAGATCATCCAGAACTCTGCACCCAGTGTCCTCTCCCGCACCATACTCCGGGACCCTATCCCCCCCATCCTTGCCTGACTCCACTGGCTTCTCATCACACCGAGGATACAGTTCAAGTTTCTGGTCGTCACCTTCAAAGCCCTCCAAGGCCCTGCTTGTCAGCCTTCCCAACTCCTCCCTCCACAGGCTGCAGATAATCCAGAACTCTGCAGCCCTTATCCTCTCTGCACCAAACTCCGTGACCCCATCTCCCCCATTCTCGCCCGACTTCATTGGCTCCCTATCCTTCAAGGATCCAGTTCAAAATCCTGGTCCTCACCTACAAAGCCCCCCATGGCCTCAAGACCCTCCTCTTTGACCGTACCTTCCATTACCCTCCTTCCCCATCTACCCTCCACCCTCCCTGATCCCGACCCCCAGCTTGGGTCCGAAACACTGATTGTCCAGCTACTTGGGCCATCCTCCCGACGTGAAAAGCGCTATACAAATGTAATTGCGTTGTTGTTGTCGATATCCCAGCCTAATTGCAAAGCTTGTACTGATCCATAACTGGCGAATTAATAAAATAGATATGTGACAGATGATACAAATATCTGGCTGTGACAGATGAACATTTAAGCAAGCAGGTCATAAAAACTTAAGTATAAAATAAATAAAGTTCATTTATAATCCTTGCATTTTATAATCCTTGCAATCTCCAGGACTGCATTGGAGTGTTATAATAATATAATATATATAATGTAGCTCACTAGTTGGAGCATTTGCCTCGCAAGCGAGAGACTTGGGTTCAATTCCCAGCAGGGCGAAACCTTGAGCAAGTTTCCTTACTCCACGTGCCTGATAATAATCCCTCAAGAAAACAACAAACAAACAAAAAATATATTGGTCACTTCAATCCATGATTGTTTGTGGGAGACTGCTGTGCGCAATTGGCTGCCGTGTTTCACCCACAAATATATAGTCAATTCACTTTATGGTATATTCTGTAAAGCTTGAGACATCTCGAAGATGTGAAAAGGCACTATAACAAATGTAAGGATTATTATTATTATCTAGCAATATTACTGTACTTTCCATGGAACTGCTTTGCAAAACGTTGTGGCAATTATCTAAGAATTCCTCAGTGACAGTTTGTCGAGTTGGCAGTAGGTCAGATATGAGAAGGCCAGGTAGTTTTTCTGCATTGCAGCAGTCAGGTAGTTTCACTGTCAGAACCGTGTTCAGTTTTTGTGTGAAGACAACTGAAGGCTGCAGCGTGAAGCAATCACAGCTGAGGAGCACTGACCAGCTTTGAGAGCTACAACCATTTCGATATCTTTTTTTAAATTAATTTAATTTGTAGGCGCTTTGAGACTTCTAGAAGACATGAGAAGTGCTATTATCAAATGCAAAGATTTTTAAATTAATAGTATGCAGTATTTTGCAGCATCAGCAGTATTTTCCAGAATCTGCAGTATTTCACATTTTGACCAATTCATTATTATTATTTTTTTGAAGGAATTATTACCCCCGGAAAAGCGATCTGCCAATCGACCTACAACCAAGTTCCTACTTACTGCTAGGTAAATAAAGACGTGTGGAGTAAGGAAACTTGCCCAATGTTTCGTCCTGCTGGGAATCAAACCCAGGTTTTTCACTTGCGAGGTGCGTGCTCTAACCACTGAGCTACAGGACTCGATTTCACTCATTAATATGGAGAACACAGTTCTGGGAATATAAGAAAACATGAAATGAAAAAGGCTATTTGGTCCATTAAGTCTACTTCTTCCACAGCCTCTTAAAACATTTTGCTTTTCTTCCTATGGCATTTAAACTCACGTAGAAGAGTAGAAATGTGCTGTATGTACTGCACAATTTGTTCTGGGTGACTTATGAACTGTGGGCAAACAGTTCTGTGGGTTTAAATTAAACATGATGGAACATTTTTTTACATTTAACAAGAATTAGTTTATAGAAGTCGAAACTGTTGCAATGAGTAATTTAGACCTAAGGTGAATCGTATATTTAACTATTTGACTGGTCTCTGGGTATTCTGGAGGTGATACCTCCTACCTGCCCAATATCTTTCTGAATGGTCTGGTTTGAGAAGACAATTGCATTGTGTACTGGAGTTCCTGGTCAAGGCATTGGATCTCCAACTTACTGGCTTAATTAAACAAAAAGATTGGAGTCCAGCCAGTATCCTGTGAATCGAAGGTCCAATGAGCAGCACCACCACTTACTTCTCAGATACATCTATTGAGAAGGGTTCTGGAGTGGACCTATCTAAGGACTGGTCAATGTGTATAAATTCATCAGGTCCCTAAATCTATTATCAGTGTTATAGGTATATTAAGTATATTAGAAATTAGACCTTGGGGATTTATTAACTCATCACGCTAATTATCTTATCTTTTAACCCAATCATAGAAATAGGGAACCTCTTAAAACTTCAGGCTGACAATTCTATTCCCCACACCACCCATTCTTATTTTTTAAAAATTAACTGTTACAAACAAAATAATAATTAGATATCAAGCACAGATGAAAAGCGAGATATGTTTATAATTATTATTGGCAATAACTTGATCCTTGTTACTGAATTCATGCTTTGAAATTGTTAGCAGCCAGATGGCTTGGTTTTTGTATTGCATGATTGGAAGCACCATTTGAAAGCAACCTGTAGTAGTTACAGTTGGCAGTTAGGATAAGTACTGATAGAAGCAATTAAACTATTAAATTATATTGTATAACAGAATGGTGCATGAACTTTAGAAATCCTTTTCAAGAAAGTCTAACTGATCTGGAATGATTAATGCGCGAATCATCTGAATACAGTATTTGATTTCATTTTTGACAAAATTGGGGGTGGATGTTATCAGTGAAAAACTTTACAGAACCTTTTTGCTTTGGTGATGAAAGTTGAAAATGGTTTGGGTACTGCTTGAACAGATTGGTGAATCTCATCCCCCCTTAAATCCAGCCTAAAAGCCTAACTCTTCAGCTGTGCTCACATTGCCGAAGGGCACTATATAAATACAAGTTGTTGTGGTCATCACCACCTATCCCCCCACCCTGCTTAATGTCTGAACTCAATCTTTATGAAGCTCTCTGAGACGTTCTATGTGTATGTGTAGGGTGCTATATAAATGCAAATTTCTGTTATTGTAAAATCAATTAATGTTGCTCCCCCCCCCCCCATAGAAATGACACAGAAACATTATAAGGAATTGGGGGAGGAATGTCTAATTTAGGGTTAATAAGAAATACATTTCAATAGCAGAGTCAGATTAGGGATTATGTGTTTTTGGAATGGGCCTCCTGCAAATTATTAAAATGTAAACTAGACACCAAAAAAAGTCCACGTTTTAATTCTTTGAATGCACTTTCACCAGCAGGAAAACAAATAACAGACGTTAAGTTTGTTCGATATATTGGACTCAATAAAAGGTTGCAGTCATTAAACCATTTTTATCTCTCTTTCAATGTTGTCTTGGGGCCAGCTGAGCTGGGTGTGTGATTACAAGATCGTACACATTCGGAAACTCATCATTCTCGTGTTCTTTGTACACATTGAATATTCTAGATTTACAGATCCAGTAGTTAATTTTGTAAAGTCTTACAATGAGAGCTTGATAGGGTTGCAACATGGGATGATTGGCAAATGTAGTTTAATATGGATAAATACAAGGTGCACAGTAGAACAAGTCATAGGTTCAGAATTATAAACAGCAATTTCTGGAAATTCGCCTTCAATTTCAGGACAGGATGTTTTCCTTTACTCAGAGGGTAATTACAACTAGAGTTTTCCAGGAATGGTGGTTGAGGCCAAAGTGATGGACTCATTTTAAAAACAGTTTGATACTGTGATGGGAGGATGGTAAAGTAGGTATTCTGGAAGGTTGAAATTAAATGGGCTAAAGGGCCTTTTTCATTTGAACCGATTCTATGACCTTGTGACCATGACCAGTTTCTACATATATATGCCGTGTACATTTAGAAATTTCCGTGTCTGGAGACGGAATGGATATCTGTTCCCTGGAGGAACACATCCTGCTTATCAAATTCCGGATCACATTAAGCATAGGTGAACGAGAGCCAAGGCTTGTGTACCCGAGTGTGCGTTGGTATAACTACCAGAGCAGAGCGTGACCAGCTAAATCTGCGTAGCTTGCCATTGAGAACACTGTCTGGCGCCGCTTTCCCGCTACTTGCCCAGCGAGGACCACGAGGTTTGGCTTACAGGTTTAAAAGGAGTCCAGTGGGAATACCTGCCTGTTCAGGCGGATGTTAAAGATCCCATGCGACTATTTGAAATGAGAAAGGAGTTTCTCCCAGTGTCCTGCCCAACAAATCCGACAAATTAAATTGGGTCACTCAATCCACAACCATTTGCGGAGCACTGCTGCGTGCAATGGGCTGCTGCCATTCACCCACAAAATTCAGTCAGTCCACTTTACAGTGTATCCTGTGCAGCGCTTTGAGACGCCGCGATGATGCGATAAAGGTCAATATCAAATGCAGTTATTACTATTGTATTATTATTGTTGTAATACTCCCTGCCCCCGAGCCCCGCCCAGTGAGCCAAGATGGCAGGTGCGCGTCACCAGCAGGTGTGTGTGGGTCTGCGCAGGAAACGACGAGCTCCGCATTGTCCGACTCCCGGTCCTCCAGTTTCCCACAATGCCCGGGATGGGTGACGTTGGGCATTGTGACGTTCTACATCGCGTGCTCGGTCACAACCGCCTCCATCGGCAGCCAATCACCGCCTCCGGCCGTCTGTCAGTCAGTCAGCCAGTTCTCAGCCCCTCCCCCTGGTCCCAGTCACCGCCTCCAAAGCCCAGGCCCCGGTGTCGGGCACTGCCTCCTGACTTCAAACACCATCTCACTCCCTCCGTCCCTCGCTGCTCGTCACAGCGGCTCCAGCTCCGCGCAGACCCTCCGCTGTGAAGCCTCCTCCCTGACCTGTGGCAATGCCGCCGCCGCCGCCGCTGCTGCTGCTGCTGGTGGCCTCCGCTCTCCGAGTGGCCTCGGGTTTCTACCTCCCGGGCCTGGCCCCCGTCAACTTCTGCGAAGTGGAAAGCGGGGACTGCAAGGTAACGGGCTCCGGCCTCCCCCCCCTCCCCACCCCCGGGAACACCCCGAGCCTCGCATTATAACCTGACGGCTCAGACCGGCCGCCTCGGAATTGGTCCCTGGGCCTATCCCGCCAATGCGGAAGCTGATCCATTGATTTATTGTGTGTGTGTCCTCACATCACTGGGCTTCAGTTTGACCTGCAGTCCCCTCTCTCGTTATTGTCACTTTGATCTGATGATATACTCGTGTCTGTCTGTCTGTCTGTAGTACATTAGGAAGACGTAATTTAAGCAATGAGGAATGATTAGGAAATTTGAATTCTTGGACCTTGGAAAGAGATGTCTCAAAGGGCGCCTCATCACCAGAGGTAACTGGTCCGTGTAATTAAACCTGGGATATCATTATTATTATTATTGTTATTATTGTTAGTAGCACTGGAATGAACAATTGAGCGTTGCAAAGAAAAGGAAGAGGTCAGGGCAGTGCTCTGAGCACGAACCAGGATAATCCTGGAATGAGAAACTCTACTGCAAGGGTTAAGTAAGAAGTCTTTGTGGATTTGAGTTTTCTTTAGGAGGGGGTGTGGTGGTGTTTGTTTTGCGCTTAATGGCAATTGCTTTCCTTTTGAGAGATTGTGGGATCAGTGGTGGCAGTTGAAATTGAGATTATTTATGTGGCAAAAGTGAAGTTAGATGAAATAATATAATGATACCTCTTGCATTTGATATTGTTGCATTATCAAAACTTCTCAAAGCTCTTCACAGGAATTTGTTTCCTGTTAAGTGTAGTAACTATTGGCTGGCAAAATATTAATTGTGTACATTTAAAAATAAATAACTTCTCACTGTTGACCTGTTATGAGGTCACAGTGACTGCCTTGTAACTTGTTTGTGATCCTGAGCAGCTCAAGGTGTGAAAATTGTGCCTGTGTCAGGAATGCTTTAATGGCACTCTGTTAAGTTGCAAACCTATTTGACAAATCAGCGAAATGGTAATAACCTCTGGCGGCAACAGCAGCATTTTATTTAGCTTAACTGTTTTCCAAAACTCGAACTTTCTTTCAGAGTTGGTATTATAAGATAAATAATAATCCTAGCATTTGATATAGCTGCTTTCACATCAAGAGGATGTCTCAAAACATTTCAGAGCATTTACTGTAAAGTGTAATGACTATTTTGTAGGCAAACAAACGCATAATACGGGAAGGTAACCAAGACAGTGCACAGATCCTTTAGTCTGACTTCAACTATGAGAATATACTAATGGAATCATTCATCTGAAATAAAATGAAAGAATAGCAAATAAGTGACAGCGAACAGGATGTTGGGCTACATTGCCAAATGCATTTATAGGGCTTTGATCAGGCTGCACTTTGAGTAATAATAATCTTTGCAATTGATAGAGTGCCTTATCATGTCATTGAGACATCTCCAAGCAATTCACAGAATATACAGTACTGTAAAGTGAATTGATTGTATGTTTTGTGTGGAAATGCGCCAGCCAATTGCGCACAGCAGTGTCCCACAAACAGTTGTGGATTGAGTGATCAAATTATTATTAATTTTTCATTTTTTTGAAGGGATTATTATCCCTGGTTAGCAATCCGCCAAACGACTACTACAACAACAACATCAAAATTATGTTTGTATAGCGCCTTTCACATCAGGAGAATGTCCCAAGGTGCTGACCAGAGAGAGTTATGGACCCAAGCTGGGGGTCAGGATGGGGGAGGGTAGAGGGCAGGGAGATCAAAAGCATGGTCAAAAAGCAGGGTCTTGAGATGGGTCTTGAAAGTGGCAACAGAGGGTGTGAGGCATGGAGTTCCAGAGGGTGGGGGCAGAGTGGTGGAAGGCCTACCCACCAATAGTGGGGCAAGCAAGACAGGGGACATGAAGCAGGCCGGAGCCCACTGAGCGAAGGGAATGAACAGGATGGTAGGGGGTTAGGAGGTTGCAGAAAGTCCGTGGAGGGTTTTGAAGGTGAGGACCAGGATCTTGAACTGTATCCTCTGTGTGATGGAAAGCCAGTGTAGTTGGGGAAGGATGGGAGTGATTGGGTCGCGGAGAGGGCACTGGCTCCAGAGTTCTGGATATCAGCCCAGAGAGTCAGTTGAAAGTCTTGATGTGGGGCTTGAATCAATAGTTAACCAAAAAGTCATGTTCATTTCTGATATCTTGGATGATGGAAAATTATATTTGATGGACCGGTCTATAAAAGTAAATTTATTAATTCTGAGGATATTCTAATTATATAAAATTGATACCTGTTTATGTAGTCTCCCAGATGGGTCTTACTGAATCTTGTGAGTGCCAATCCTAATTAAGTTATGGTCTAATAGTGGAGGTCCTGTAGCTCAGTGGTTAGAGCACTCGCTTTGCAAGCATTCCTTCAAAAAATATTAATAAGTTGGTCACTCAATCCACACCTTATCATGTCAATGTCATTACAGAATATACTGTAAAGTGAATTGACTGTATATTTTGTGTGCGAAACGCGGCAGCCAAGTGGGTACAGCAGTGTCCCACAAATAGTCTTAGGAGAGCTAAAAGGTTTTTGAGGATTCTAAGAAATGTAAAGTATTGTTTTTACAGTACAACATGCATTTTGCATTCAGCTCAGTTCCATAAACAGTTGTGAAGTGAATTACCAAATTTCTGATCTGGATAAATACCTTTTTATATAAAAATAATTAGATAAAAAATATTAACAATACAGAAAAAAGTCAGAGGCAAACCTTCAAGCTATATTTCTTACTTAGTGATTCCACAGCAGGACCTCTTTATGATAACTGATGCCAATTGATGTCCATTCCAGAGTTAGCTCAAATTTAGGATATTGCTGAAATCGTACCCTCCGTTCCTCTGGCTCCGGTCTGCTCCACATCCCCCGCCCCAACCGCCCTACCATCGGTGGCCGGGCCTTCAGCCTCTCAGCCCCGAGGCTCTGGAACTCCATCCCCCAGTGCCTTCGCCGCCTCCTCCCTTTCCTCCTTCAAGGCCGGTCTCAAGACCTTTCTCTTTGACTGTGCCTTCAGCTCCCCTCTCGACTTTCTCCCCCCTCCTCGCTCCCTCCCTTCCCTCCCCTCACCCTGACAATTTCCCTCCTCGTCGCCCCTCCCTTCCCTCCCCTCACCCTGACAATTTCCCTCCTGCTCGGGTCCTAACCCAACTGTCCAGCGCCTTGGGACGTCCTCCCGACGTGAAAGCGCTCTATAAATGAAATCTTGTTGTTGTTGTTTGTTTTCTTTCATCTTCCACCATCCATTTTGGAGTTAAAATAATTTCCACTTCAACTTTTTAAAAAGCTATTTATCAAGCCAATACAAATGATTAGATACCATTGGATTGGTTTTCTATGTAGGAATCAAGCCACTTTATCCTTCAAATAGGGCTTTATAGTTTAATAGTCCTTTAATTCACTGGAGGACAATAGCAGAAATAGAAATAAAAAAGTTAGTTATTTGATTATTTTGAGCTGTTTCTAACTGCCAGATTTGTTCCTTATGTATTTGGTTTCAATCATTAGCGTATACAAAACTTCTGTTTTCATGCTAATGCTTTCCATGTGCTCAATAAACAAAGCAGTGAAATTTGAATCCTGTGCCCAGGATTCAAGTTTCACTGCTTTCTTTATTGAGCATTAAATATTCTACATGTTAAACCTATGGATTTCTCCTTTTTAGATGTCATATGACATTCTCTGTTAGTGACTTTGTTTCTAAGTTTCCTGAAATATTGGGGAGGACAAGTTTGCAGGGCTATGGGGAGAGCGTGGGGGAGTGGGATTGATTTGGATAGCTCTTTTCAAAGAGCCGGCACAGACACGATGGCCAAATGGCCTCCTTCTGTGTTGTTTAATTCTATGATTCTATGATTTATGAATCTGTAACATTACTCTAAAATATTATTTTAGAAATATTTTTCTCAGTTAATATTGCTATATTCTAAATTGCAGCTCTGACCGCTTCAATCTTCCTACCCTCCCTCTCACCGAACCAGTGTGCAACCTTGCCGTTCAGTTCTCTTTTCTCCCTCACATCCAGCCTCTGAAGATCTTGAGACGCACAAAATTCTAACTATTGAGCTTAAAAAAAATTCAAGTTTTCATTGTGTTTTCAGAGTGCCATTGAACTGTTTGTAAACAGACTGGACTCGGTGGAATCTGTTCTTCCTTATGAATATGCTGCGTAAGTAAATTTACCTTCATTTAAAGCCTTAATCTGTATTTATTAGTGGAGTTTAAAATAAAATCATATTTCAATCTATTTTATTGACGACATGTGACATTACATGCCAAGGAAAATGTGGATAAAAATTCTGAGGCCTGTAAATTCAGAGTACATTTTTAAGCAAATTAAGCATTTCAGTAAAAGTATATGAAGATGTATTTGTTTGTGTAAAATCCTAAAAATTAATTTCTCCTTTTAAGGTTTGATTTTTGTCAATTGGAAAAGGAAAACCGTCCTTCAGAAAATCTTGGCCAGGTTCTATTTGGTGAAAGAATTGAGCCATCTCCATACAAGGTACAGTACATACTCTCCTGGATTACATATGCTCTTACTAAAAATTAAGAATCTTAAATTGTTTTTCACACTTCTCTACTGCCAGTTCCTCTTTTTGAATGTAAAGTCTGTGTCAACCTTCCTAATATGCAATAACCCCAAAAGAGATAATAATAATGTTAATAATCCTTGCATTTGATATAAAGTTTTTCATGTCTTCCAGACGATCAAAGCACTTCCCAGGATATACTGTAAAGTGAATTGACTGTATATTTGTAGACAGAACTTGGCAACAACAACAACTTGGATTTATATAGCACCCTCCACGCAGGACAGCATCTCAGAGCGCTTCACAGTAACGGATCCCGGGGCTAAGCCAGGGGGAGGGGGAGGAAGGTGACCAAAGGCGCAGTCAAAAAGAAAGGTCTTCAGCAGAGATCTGAACATAGGAAGAGAGGGGGTGAGGCGAAAGAAGTGAGGAAGGAAGTTCCAGAGCCTCGGGGCGTAGTGGCTTAAGACCCAGCTACCGATGGTGGAGCGGAGGATTCGGGGGACAAGGAGGAGACCAGACCCAGTGGAGCGAAGGCAACGGGCACTGCTGTGAGGAGAGAGGAGGTCAGAGAAGTAGGGGGTTGCAGAGAAGTGGAGGGATTTGAAGACAAGAGTGAGGATCTTGAAGTCAATTGCGCACAGCAGTGTCCCACATCCAGTCGTGGATTGAAATGACCAATTTATTATTTTTTGTTTTGTTTTTTCTTGAGGCATTATTATCAAAGACAAGTGTGAAATCATTATAAGTAACTTTGTATCAATAACATTTCAGAGTTTCTTAAAAAATAATCAGTTGCATTGATATAGTGTATTTCACATAAATATACATCTCAAGATGCTTTACAAAATGTACTTGATTTAAATGAAGTGAATGTTACATAGTTGAACATTGATCTGTGCCAGAAAAGGTGTGGATTTGGAGGGAAATGTACGCTTATATATAAAACTGACAAAGGCTCCACATTTCTTTGACATAACAGCATTGTTAAAGATGGTCCTCACCGAAATCGTAAAGCAATCAGAGCCTAAAATTAATCACAAAGTCCAAAAATGAAACTAAGTTTAGAATGTTATAATGCAAGTGTGGCAGCTTACCTGTTTCAGCCATATTCCACAATCAATGAAAATTAGAACAAGAAAATTACCTGCTTAGCTGTAGTTTAAAATATATATATATATCTCAAGCTGTTCAAATGGGAATGTTCCAATGAAAATGTTGTGTTTGAACTGCGTTTTTTAATTGTAGGAATTTGCGTTGAGAAGAAAATATTGTACAGTTTCCAAAAGATATCTCTATAGCTCTATTCATAATGTAATGCCGATCAGTTAGGCTTACTCAGGAATGGGCCTAATTTCAGGGTTTTTTGTTAAGGCATGATTTTAGATTATAGAAACTGTAACTGCCCCATGATATATGAATATGTTTATTGAAGTGGCTTGCAAGAAGTGAACAATATTCTAGGAATTCTTGGAATCTGTGCATTTTAAAAGTTTTAACGATTGTAAAAGTATTTACATATAATTTTTGTTTGGTTGGGGGTGGAAGGATCTGTTTGTGTATCTGCCATTTTTCTTTACCATTGAAGTATTAGTAATACTCATATGGTTAGGTTAGAAAACAGAATTTCAGTAAAAGACAGAGATAGCATGAAAAGGAAGATCATTTGTAGAATCTTTTTGATGTTCCCCTATTTTAAAAAAAGTTTGTCCCAAAGGTTATAGGTAACATGTAGACTGTATAGTTTTCTAATTAAATGATGACATTTATTGATCTCATTTGCTGCTGCACGAGGATTAACATGTCGCACAGTGCAGTATTTATAGGCCAGGCATTGTGTTGTGTTAAATGCCAAGTGAAAGCCAGGTGCTCCCATCAGGAGCTGAGATAGCAGATCATTGAAAATGGAGATCACACTGGCTACTGTCATGCACCTTCTGCAGATTAAAGTGGGATTGGTTGAGACCTGGTTATCAGCGCACCAGGTTCTTACTCTCAGCTTGGGATAGTGTCTGGAATATGGAACATTTCAGTAGAATAATGGCTTCAAAATAAACAATGGCAGAAGAGAGCTCATCAACTCGATGTGACATTTTTGGTGCAGTACATGAACTTGTAAGATGTTTATACCTTATAAGATAGCTAAGAATTTTTGACAGTGGTTTTGAGGTAAATATGAAATTGAGAAGGCACATCCTTGAAGGAAGAAAATAAATAGACAGAACCATTCCTGGTCATTCCTTAAACCTGCATCGTCAGACGTCTCGGACTAGGTTGACTTCTTAGATAGATGAATGATGCATGGTGTATGCGGCAGCGCAGGTAAAAAAAAATTGTGCCAATTTGGAAAAAAAAGTTAAAAGTATGACACAAAAGTTTAAGTGAAGAAGAAAAGCAGTTTCGCAAAATTGTCCTCTTCCATTTCCCAAGCAGCTTTCTATTTTACCTTTTGGTTTACTATTCCCAAATATCAGAAATCAAATGGAGAATCTCAAAAAGCATCAATCGAATGAAGCCTTTGATTATCAAATTGCCTATTATTGATGTAGTCATATGATCAGTTTCTTGTTAACAAGGTGTACTCCCATCACAAAAATCTAACTCTGCTGAAAGAAGGGGTTGCCAGTTTGATTTAACTAATTATGGAGCAATATTGATAACGAGAAAACTGGGAGAAGGGTACAGGAGAGACGTGAGATAACTTGAGCAAACTGTTTGCAGGCCAATTGAATGTTGCAGGAACCAAGAGTTATTGAAAATATTGTATGCTTGCACAACTTGTATTGCAGTTCCATTTTAAGAAGGAGGAGCAATGTAAACCCGTATGTATCAAAAATTATGACCTGAGCAAAGAGCAAGACAAATCAAAGTTGATGTTCTTGAAGAATGGCATGAGTTTAAACTATCAACATCACTGGTGAGTAATAACAGAAGCAATTTGTTTTGCTTTTACAAATTCAAAATCAATCTGATATATTTTAGTACGAAATGAATGACCAAAATTGCTCACATTCGTTTTCAAATCCCTTCATGCTCTGGCAAGTCCCTACCTCTCCAACCTGCTTACTGCCCACTCCATTACCCGCTGCCTCCACTCGATTGGCTCTGGCCTCCTGCTCGACGCTCGTGCCCTCCATCACTTTCAACCATTATACCCTAAAGCTCTGGAACATTCTTCCTCTATCGCTCCGCCTTGCCCCCTCCTTCCCCATCATCAGGGGATTTGCTCTTCGATCTTGCCTGCAGTCACCTCCCCAGGACTAGGTGTCATGCTCTGCCACTGTCAAACGCTCTGGGAAGCTGCCCTTAAATACAAGCTGCTACTAATGTTGAATGGAATGACTTGCTGATTGGTGCATTAAACCCCAGCGACCCAGACCCTATTAAGGTGGGTGGTGGGGAAAACGAGTATGCCACTTTCAGTCTGCATATGCTAATTGCAGGAATGACGGTTACTTGTAAAAGGGTCCTGAAGAATGTAATTTTATCAGAAGTCAAATTAATTTTAGTTTTATATTTAATGGATAATTGTATAATTGTTCTTTTCATCATGTGCTAAACCCCATTGTAATTACAGGATCATCGACAATATGCCCGTCACGTGGTGCTACGATGTCGAAGATGGACAGAAATTTTGTAATCCTGGATTTCCTATTGGTTGTTACGTTACAAAAGATGGTCATCCAAAAGATGCTTGTGTCATTAGTGTAAGTTTGATAGCTGTTTTAAAGTACAGTGGGACCTTGTAATAAAGGACCTATTCTGTGCTTGTTAATGAGATGCCTTAATGGTGAGAATGACCTAATAAGGGCTCAAACCCGCACTTGTCCGATTGAGGGGGTGTGGGGGGTTGGGGGGTAGTTGGCAGTTGGATCTCCTGGGAGTTGAACTGGCTCCAGGTCCACCGATGTTCTGTCGGGTTATCTGGCAGACATCAGGGCCTGGATGAGCAAAAACTTCTTACAACTAAATGTTGACAAGAGCGAAGCCATACTCCTTGGCTCCCATAAATGTCTTCTGTCCAGTGGCTCTGACCTCCCCCACCTAACCCTCAGACTCACCAAACCGATGCGCAAGCTGGGCATCAGGTTTGTCCTACAGCTGTCCTTCCTTCCCCATATCTGGTACCTGACCAGAACTGTCTTCCTCCACCTCCGCCACATTGCCCACCTCCGACCGTACCTTACCCCAGATGCAGCCGAAACACTCGTCCATGTGTTCATCACCCCTCGACTCGACTTCTCAAATGCATTCCGTTCCACCATTGCTGGCTGTGCTTCAGCCACTACGCCCCATTAGACCAGTTCTAGCCTGGCTCCAGTGGCTCCCTATTGCCGAATGGATCAATTTCAAGATACTCATACTCGTTTTCAAATCCCTTCATACCCTGGCACCTCCCTACCTCTCCGATCTGCTTACTGCACAACCTCCTGCATCCGCAAGACTGACTCGTGCCCTCCGTTCCACCATCGGTGGCCGCGCTTTCAGCCACTAAAACTCTGGAACATGCTTTTTCTGTTCCTCCGCCTTGCTGCTTCCTTCCCTATTGTGCTCCGCCACTGTCAGGCACTCTGGGATGCTACCCTGCATGAGGGGGCGCTATATAAATGCAAGTTGTTGTTGTACTCCTGTTTGCGGTTAAGCATCAAGATATAAGTTCATCTCTCTGCAAGGTATTGGCATGGAGCCTTCTTTCCTCAGCTGCAAGGGCTTGGTTGTAGATTAAATAGATCGAATCTTACAATACAATTTCAATACATAACCATCTACCCACAGGAGCCAAATCCTGTTGTCTTACTTCTGTTGAGTCTGATTACCTCATTCTAATCCCACTCCCGCCCATACCAGCAAGTAGAAACACTCAAAAGTCCTACATCTTTCAATTGTGTGAACAAAACATTCAGTGATTGTGGTTCAGGTATTTTGATCAGCTTGCCTGCTGGGTACAGTGGATCAAACTGTTTTAGAGAGTATATAATTCTCAACTGCAGCCTTACTTTTGTTAAGGCAGTTTTGAAGATGGCAGTGCAGATGAACGGAAGCTTTATTTTCTTTTGTTATGCCAAAATCAGTTGTGAAGCTTTATATTAAAAAGATGTCGGCACAATGTTTGTCTACAGAGCATGCCTTTTGTGCAACTGCTGTTCTATGGTGATATACGGAAATACTTTTTATATTTTTCTGTTGCTTCAAAAGAAATCTCATCTCTTGTGGTTTGAATGTTAGTTTTCAATGCATTAATGTTTTTTTTCATAGTGGATTATCAAAATTGCTTTTATTATAATGAAACATTTCAAAAATTGTGTAGTTAAACATGATGAAAAGGCTCCCTCAAAGTCCTATTGGGTAAAGGAAACAGTCCCGCATTACATCTTACGAAAGTTGGTAAAGATTGAGTCCTGGTCTGTACTGAGTTGTATGATCTTAGCCAAGGCAGGATATGGGGTGCTACAATTAATTTTGGAGCTTTGATCTTCGGAGGGGGAAAATACAATAGGGTATTCGGTCCTGATTGCTATTAACTGGTGAAACTACTTCAGCATTTGGGGTTTTTCATGAGTTAGTATTTTCAACAATGACAAATTGCATTTATGTAGTGCTTTTAATGTTGGGAGGATGTCCCAAGGCACTGGACAGTGAAGGGTCTGCATTCGATCTGCAGGTTGGGATCAGAGAGGGGTGGCGGGCAAAGTGGGTGGAGGAGGGAAGATGACTCAAGGCACGGTCGAAAAATAACGTCTTGAAATGGGCCTTGAAGGAGGCAAGAGAGGGGGCTAGGCGGAGGGGCTCCGGGATGGAGTTCCAGATTTTGGGGGCAAAAAGGCTGAAGGCTCAACTGCCAATAGTTGAGAAGGCAGGGTGGGAAATGTGGAGCAGGCCAGTGCTTGCAGAGTGGAGGGAGCAGACAGGTTGATGAAGTTTAAAAATGTCCAGAGGTGGGATGGAGCTGGACTTTGGAGGGCTTTGAAGGTGAGGACAAGGATCTTGAGCTCAATCCTCTGGGGGATGGGGAGTCAGTGAAGCTGGGCAAGAATGGGGATGATTGGCTCACCAAGCTAAGTTGGGGGAAGACAAGAGCTGCAGAGTTTTTAATAATCTGCACCTTGTGAAGGGAATAGTTAGGAAGTTTGGCAAGCAGGGAGTTACCGTAATCAAGCTGGGACATAATGAAAGTGTGGAAGGGACAAGCTTCAAGGGACAAAATTTTGCAACATAAAAAATAAAAGCATAATGAATAAAAGTGAAAACTGTCAATTCTGAGATTTCCTGTACTTTTCTACGGCACCACTTAGCAAACTGCTGTTCAGAAACTACTCAATTTGCAGTTTGTTTCCTGAAAGCACACCTGCTGACACTGTGGATTTGTTCTTGTTTAAATCGCTTCCTTCACAGGAACAGACCACACCATTTGTTTTCAGCAAAAATAAGTAGTATTGTTTTCATGCAGTAATTCTTGTTAGGTGCAGAACGTAGCTCTGAACTGTATCCTTTTACTTTGGTTTGTTTTCTTCCCACTGTGTAGTCTTCCTTCAACCAGAAGGACACCTATTACATCTTCAATCATGTGGATATTACAATACACTTCCACAGTGAAGGAAATGAGGTTGGAGCAAGACTTGTGGCTGCTAAATTGGAGCCAAAAAGGTATGTGATTTAAAATTGTTAGATTGGAGTATTAGAATCTTTACAAAAATAAGTTGATATAAAATTGCTGTGGTATGTCTTTTGTCTTAATCTATAACGTATTATATTATTTTTTCAAATTTCTGCATCCTACCCATGATTAAATATTTCTCATTTCAAGTCCCTCTGCCAAATCTGAAATTCACTGTGTATAATATTAAGTTATATTTAAACTATATATTCAAATTTGAATGTATAATTTCCAAATCCTTCTAGTGTGGGTGGTTTATGTAATTTCAAAGTGTTCTCCTTCAATTTATTTTTTAAACTATAAAAGTAGATGTTACGTAAAACTCTTCACTCTTCTCTGCAACTCAGTCCACTGATTTAAGTTTTTCTGTGTTTACTCAAGGCAAGTGATATATGAAGCTGAAGTGTGGTCATTAGAAGATGCTATGTCTGTGCATCATTGCCCTGAATTTTCTTGCTCCACTTTTGTCATGCTAAGTTATGGGATCTGACAGTGGATGCTAAGCAGGACTGTCAGTGCTTCAAATGTCGCTTGTTTCACTAAGATTAACACTGCACACATAGTAATCTACTTTCATTAAAAAATTGCAAAAAATACTTTTGGCATTGAAATCTGTTTTACAAAGCCTGACAATTGGAACTCAAACGTGAGTAGTTTGGTGTTATGGAGTTACATGCCCAAGAACTGAGAATATAATTGTCATATACCAACACTATTATGATATATTTTATATAGTTATCAGAATTTTTTAAAGACAACTTTTAACATTCTTCCTTGAAAGTCTTTGGCAGGGTGGCTCAGTTGGTAGCACTATTGCTTCTGAATCAGGCACTAACTATATCAAATGCAAGGATTATTATTATTACTAAAGTCAGGCAGAAAAGGATTGTTTTCCATTCTTAATGTTTGGAGTGCTTTGAATAGATCTTTATTTCACCTTGACTATATATTTCAACAGCTTTAAGCACACAAACATCGATAAACCTGACTGCACAGGAGGCTCTATGGATATTTCCAATGAATTTAAAGGAAAACTTGGTATTCTATACACCTACTCTGTTAAATACATTGTAAGTATCATTTTTACACTCTTCACCTCTAGATTTTCACAGGAAATATTTGGATTTGAATTTACAGGACTCCCAACTATTTGAAAAAATCCCAATTTTCTCTTCATTTTCTAACCCAATGACGGGTAACTCTACTTGTGTTTAATGCAGAGGATGTCTGCACATGAATAAGTGTCACAAAGGTGTTCAACAATAGAGAGGATTACATGCAAGCCCAACCAACAAATGCGGGCACTTTTGTTTCCTCGACTTACGAGACACATGTATTTTTCATTGTTTCGGGCAGTATACGTGGCTTTGATGTTGCCATGTATGCCTTCACTGACTGTGCGCATCTAATGTATACCCAGTGTGTATGCCTTTAGAGGATTAACAGTTTGTAACATTTTCTATTCATTTTTAGGAATCACACTTTAAATGGGCATCAAGGTGGGATTACATTTTAGAATCCATGCCTCACACGAACATTCAGTGGTTTAGGTAAGGAAATTTTAATTCTAAATTTGTTTATTCTTGGTTGTTTTTAATAATGGAAGCTTTAACGTTGTACTGTGGCTGTGGAAATGTGTGAGATCAATAACTACTTGATCTTATGTTACAAATGACCATCTAGCGTAGTTTAAAGCTCTGAAATAACTTAAAATTATTGTGCGCTGTCAACATTTATCAGAAGCAATTTATATTAAGAGCAACTGAAGGTTTACAGGAGTGGATTAGAGGTTAAGCTTTCTGTGCGATTCTCTTAACGTAACAATCTTCGTATAGCTGGTACAGTGCCAGGGGCATGCATGTTACTGAATGGTCTGTCATAATGATTATTATCTTCTAGTATGCAGCACAGTGCCATGTGGCACGTGGATAAGCAAGGAAGATTAGAGCTTGAGTAAGCAAGTTTTTAATTTTTTTTAGTGGGAAGTTAAAATATAGGAAATCAGATATTCTACACTTCATAACGTAGAGCTGCAAATAACTCTACGACACACTATTTTGAATTTGGTAGGATAGTTACACGTTGTCTTTGGATTTGAGTGTATTCTGTTATCCTGGGAACCAAATTGATAGGAGTAAAGTTATGATTACAAATGGATGCTTTTAAAGCTGTTAAACTGTTATATCAGCAACGCTGGGTGTAGTGATTCTTCCCACTCGGCTCCTGTTAACCTTGCAAGCCTAAGCCCTAACAAAGCCCTAGTGGGATCCTAGCTGAACAAGCAGTGGAAAGCTTGCCAAGCAATATTCTCAATGGCCAAATATTCAGTTTTAGCCGCTTAATCTCCAGCAGTACTCTGCACACACTCTGAAGTTCCCAGGCCTTGGCCGTAATCAGCCTATGCCTCAAATTCTCCAAATATGTGTGTCTGTGTGTGTATCAGCCAAGATCTCAATAACCGATTGATGTAGAGACATGATTTATACCTCATCAGAAAGTTTTTGACTCTGGGAGTGTCAAAGGCATATTTGTTTTCGGGAATCTCCTTTTGTTGATGAGATATGACCTAAACAAACTCATCACACATGTATGGCAGTTTTGCGCAGTTACATCTGGTGGCTACGCCGACTCACAGTGGCCCTGTGGCATCGTGCGTCACAGAGATGCAGCACACACTCAGGCGAAGCCTGGTCGTGCTGACATGGAAGTTACCTCAAGTAGTGTTGACGGCAGCCGTTTTCCCACTATTATTATTTTTCTCTTTTATTTTCCTTACTACTTTTCCTTCCACCCAACCCCACTTCAAGCAATCCATACATCTCCCTCTGCCATCCCTGCCTTGCTCTCCACCCTCCTGCCATCCAGCCCATAACCTCTGTACTGCTAAAGTTCACCCCCAAATAACCAACGTTTGCCAGACATGGTGAGGAGGATGTGTACATCACCATGGTAAGTTTTTATACATAAAAAAAATATTGGGTGGCTGTGTTACTGATGGCCTGGCTCACTCTCTTCCGAAGAGGGTTATAGAGCAGCATATCTCTGGGAGCAGGTGTATGGATGAGGAAAAGAGGAAATAGATGTATATAAACCTGATTGACATGACATTCAGACCTCTGTAAATAGGCTCTGATGCTTACAGTCATTGTGCACTGTGTGCTACTGATACTTTTGGGCTGTTGGCCTTTTATATTCAAAGGGCAATTTGGAGCTGTCTGTGCTTGAAAAGGCTGTCTTTCAGAGTATTGCTTAAAGGTCATTTTATTAAAGAGGCTTTCCATTTGTGACCTCAGAGAATTTGATTTGGCGTTTCTGTCATTTAACAAACAAAAGCAGCAAGCTAAACTGCTACTGATTTTTTTTTATATACAGTTGAACGTAACCAGAAGATTTTTCAATTAGTTTATCTTCTATTGTTTGATCCTATATTTAATAGTTATTCTTGCTGATATTTCCAGCTGTATAACTTAGTCTTTCACATGAAATTCAACCCTTTAAGTGCTGGAATTCCTTACCATCATTCAAAATGGTGAATAATTTAAAAAAAACGCAGCAAACAATATAAAAAATAAACTTAGCAGTGGTCTGCACTGAAAGAAAAGTCTTAAATATTTCGGTCATGCTAAAGTGCTGTTGGAATGAATTTTTAGTAGTATTGTATAAATATGTATTGTGTATCATACAGTCACTGCACTTTACAAATACCTGTATATCCTGTGAAGGCTTTGTGACATCCTCCTGATGTGAAAGGCACTATGTAAATGTAAGGATTATTATTGCATTATTACTGTGCAAGTGTTTTACGTATTGTATATCATGCTAGAGGTATATTGTGCAAATACTCTATATCTAACTTGTTAACATTTCCAACTGATAATTTTAACCCTTTTTTTTAGCATCATGAATTCCTTGGTAATTGTTCTTTTCCTATCTGGCATGGTGGCTATGATCATGCTCCGAACCTTGCATAAGGACATTGCCAGATATAACCAAATGGATTCAACAGTAAGTCTTATTTTGACATTGTGCAATGATATCAGTGTTTATGTTCAACAGTTACTGAATTTAAAAGAAAGTGGGTTTTAAAATTAAACAGGAAGAAAAAATGACTGCTTACATTTTTGAGTACACCATGCAAATTTCTAGTTTTTTTAAAAAAACATTTGGTATTGTAATTTTCTCAATGTAACTAAAAATGAAAGTAAATGTACTGTTTAATGTACAGGCAGTTTCGAAATTATGGTGGCATGTTATATCAGATTCTGAATGACATTTATTGGAAGTGTCTTGATTCTTGTTTATATGAAATCTTCTCAGAATAATATGCATATGAAGTACATTACAAAATTACATTTGTATAGCGCCTTTCATGTTGGAAGGACAAAGTAGTATGTTATCTCTTTAACTGGTATACTTTCCACTGTAAGGTTGTAAGCATTACTTAAAATGTTGCTTGATTTTAATTGGCGAATAAATCAATTAATCTTATTAAACCAGCTGGAAAGATATTTGATCCAGTTCTCAGATTGAGGATCAACAGAAATCTAGATTTATTGAAGCTTGTATAGTAATGTAAAGCCAACTAAATTTGAGCTCAGGATATTAGTTCTTCAGTTGCTGATTTTTCTCTTAGCCTATAAACTGGAGAGAAAGGAAGTTTAGATTTGGCTATGGAGGCATGTCACATTTTATCTTTAGTTCAAAGATAGTTCTCAAAATAAGTCTAGATCGTATTAGAATAACAGCTGAGCTTGTGGGTTGAACAATTGGCTTTTATACTCAAAGCATATGTCTGTTTGTCTATAGATCTCCAAAGAAGCAGAGATTTTATAATAATTTATTTAAAAACATGTTCTTCTTTAATTTGATGCCCCCAAACTCCTTGACAATTAACGCTGAACCTTCTATTGCCATTCACTGTTTCTGAACAGTTTATGCTTAGTATGCAATCTACCCTGTGAAATTAGGATCTCCAAGAAAATATTGGGTCTTAAGTGTGTCTCACATTTTTAATTTTCTTCCTGTTAAATTGCACCTGACCAAGATTTGTTTCACGAATCTGTAATCTCGGTTTCATTTTCATTAACTAGAAAGGATACTTAACAGTGTGTTGAAGACTATCCTCTTTGACCATGCCTTTGGTCAACTTTCCACTCTTTCTAGCTCGGCATCAGACCTCACCGGAGTTGAGCGCACCAAGACTATTCTGGCGTAGTGGTAGCACTCGCCTTCTGAATCAGAAGGTTGTGGGTTCAAGCCCCACATCGGTACTTGGAATCACATAGTCTAAGATGTCATTCCAATACAGTGCTGGAGGTCTGTTGTTCAGGGGTCTGAACATTTTTAATATGTTGGCTGGGTGATGATGTACTCCTAAATATTCTTTATAAAGGAAGAAGCTCAGGAGGAATTTGGATGGAAGCTGGTTCATGGAGATGTCTTCAGACCACCACGAAAAGGAATGCTACTGTCTGTTTTCCTTGGTTCTGGCGCTCAGATCCTTATCATGACCTTTGTTACTCTGTGTAAGTCTAGAATTCTTGGATTTTTTTTAAAATGGTGGAATAATGGCTATTCTAAGTATTGTAAAACCAGTGTGAAAGAATCTTATGCATGATTAGTTGTGTGGTATTACTGAAATCAATTTGACTAATTTGAGGCTGGAGCATTGAAATAAAATGTTCTGATTTTTAAATCCCTCAATCACCAAAAGCAGTGAGATGGTTATGACTGCCCATCCATCTGTCTCTGAATACCAACTGGTAAAATTCAGTAAATTACCAATGCTTCATCAAATTTTAACCAAACATAATTAATGACTACTTCTCAGAGATTGGTGCTTTCAAACTTGGCACGCTGGTAACTGTCCATTCATTGTTTTCATCCATCTATAAATTAAAGACTCACTTTGATGATGAGGGAGAAAAAAAGTTTTATTGTGGTTTTACAAAACTTGACAAGTTGATTTATTTCCTTGGTTCTTGTATTTTTTTTTAAACAATTATGCTGGAACCTTGTAAACAATTTGGTGAAGTTAGCTATCAAACTGTATTTGTTTTGAAGATTGAAACGGTAAGTCTAGAAAGATTGAATTGTCCTAAAACTGAAGATATAATTAGCATTCAGCTTTCAATAAGCCATATTTTTATGTGTTTTTTAATAAAAAGCATTTTGCGTTTGCAGTAAACCCTCTCAATATTCAGTTACCATCACCCTCAGAATGGCAAATTAAAGCAGCAATTAAAGTAAAAAGACAGAAAAGTTTGTAATACCAACAGGAAATTAAAATTCTAAATGTGATTCGAAATACAGAAACCAAAACATCATTTTACTGTAGAATCAAAATCTGGAATTAATTCTACAATATGTATACTATATATATATGCAATTATCCTGTGATTAATGGATGTAGATTTTTAATTCCTCAGTTTTTGCATGCCTGGGATTTTTGTCACCTGCAAACCGAGGGGCCTTGATGACATGTGCTGTTGTCTTGTGGGTGCTGCTTGGAACCCCAGCAGGCTATGTGGCTGCCAGATTTTACAAATGTAAGTAACAGATATTTAAACTGACAAGAGTTCTGTTCATTAGTTTCAATTATCATCACCCTTTGGCAACTGAACAACTTAATTACTTTTGGAATAACCTTTTAAATTCTGATGAAATATCTACAGTCTGCTTTTACTCAGCGGAAGTAAATCAGTATTTAATTAGATTTGTTGGATAGAAAATGTGCCGTGTGATATAATTATTGAATGCTCGTATCTAAATGTTAAAATTCATTTGGGGGTTTGGTTGCTATGTCTGTATCTCTGATCACCAGCACAAAGTGATCTGATGCTAATGTAAATTGTCCAGTGCTGGTGTAAATTGACTGATTGGTGTGCAGAAATAGCCTGGAAATGACTTTTCTTTCCCTTTTGAAAGATAATGTTGAGTGTCTTAAGTATGGCCTCCTGATGGGGATACATCTTAAGTTCGGAAGCTCATTAGGCATTGGATTGTGACCTCAAAGTCTCATTGCAATACAGCACGTTGGTCAAATGCATGTTGATTTTTGACTGTGTAGATAAAATCCTAATGCAGGCTTGCTGCCTGTTTAGTATTTTCTATTGAAAAAGCACTTTTTTTCCAAAGTTTTTCAATAATACTATTTGTGGTTGTGAGTTTGTTCATTTTTCCAATGCTTGGTCATTCTTAATCTAAGCAAACTTAATATAAAGCATGTAATAATAATAAATAAAATTTTAATGAACAGATTGTTTGTAAATTAAATATTTTCCATATGGTTTGTCTTGATATTTTAAAAGAAAATCTCCTTAGTTGTAGCATAAGCTATAAAACCATTGTGCTCAATTTTATTTCTATGTTCTAATAGCATTTGGTGGTGAGAAGTGGAAAACAAATGTACTCCTGACTTCTTTTTTGTGCCCAGGGTAAGTGAATCATTCATTTTAAACTTATATGTTAGTAATGAAGTGTCCGTATAATTACGGAGACCAACATTGATCTGACACTGATTCTTTGCTAAAACACTTAGCAGTTATAGAAACTTGAATTCTCCAACATATTGCAGACTTTACGCAGTTTTGAATGCCTGACTGTTTTGAGTGCAGTGTGTAAGTGGATCTTATTTAGAATTTTTAAATTCCACTTTTATGAAGAGGTGAGAATTTTTTTGTATTCCTGAGTTTAAAGTGATGACTGAGACTGCACTTTTTAAACTTCCCTTGTATCTATTAAATTGTTAAGCATATTGTAGTGTGCCGACCATTTACAAAAAAATTAAGATTATTCTTGCATTAAAACCGATTCAATCATTTGACTATTTTTTGTTGATTTTTGACCTTGTAGGTAAAACACTAATGTAGGAAAACCTTGCCAATGTTTCTCTTCCAATTTCTCTCCTGTTCTCCTGAAAGCATTTGTTTTGTTTTTTCTGGGTCAGTAAAACTCACAAGTCTTATCTATAAATCGTATAATTGCCTAAGTCATACATGCACTTAAGTCCCATTCAGTTTTCTATCAAATCCACTTAGATTTTGTTGCACAAGTCATATTATATCATTCACCTCCTAACTCGTAATGTTACTCCCCTATCCTCCATTACTCCCGCATTTACCGACTGCATTGAATCTGGGGGAAATGACATCCTTGCGCATTTACTGGCCGGATACATTGAATCACAGGAAACTTAGTCTTGATCCGTCAACGCATTGGACAGAAAAACTTCATTCCTGTGATTTCAAAGCTTGCCGGCAAGCTCGCATGCGGCGACGGATCGAGACTTATTGACTCACGGGGAGACATAGTCTTGAACCATCTCCGCAATCGCATTTACCGGCTGCATTTAAAAACGTATACGTAATGCAGATTGATTAAATCAGATTTTATATAACTTCTACAGTTTGCCTTCAATTTGGACTTCGCATAAGTCATATTAAATGTTATGGCCCCGACTGATACTATTTATGTGAGTTTTCCTGTACTGGAATACGTTTCTGCAGGTGCTGATCACTGGTCCAGGTAGCCATCGTTCATAAACCTAAACCGTGTTGTCAGCAGACTATTTAATCACAAGAACAGTCAAGCCCAATCAGGAGAAGGAATCTTTTGTTATGTTTCCTTTTGCAACCCAAGGGTACTAAGGCTAATTGTATCATGGCACCTGCTGTTCTGACTAAAGTAACAAATTCAGCACAGCCTAAGATTTGAACCTGAAAGCTGCTGATCTGTATGACTTGCTACAAAAAATATTTATATGACTTGCTTTTACTTGCTGGGCTGTCGAGGTAATTTTGAATTTTTAAGTAGCTTGCAAACTGTTTAATTTGGGAGTAGGGGAAAAATCATGGAGGCGTTTTAAACCATTTACTTTTGACATGAGAACTTTCAAGGTTGGTCTCTCAAGGTACGGATAATGCTGAAAAGGATTTGCATTCAGAAACTTGAATATCAAATACAGTGCTTTGGAAAGCTGAAAAGATTCCCTCTTACATTATGGACACCTTGCTGTCAAAGTAACTATCATTGTCAGCAGAAATAACCGAATGATGGCATTCATATGTGTGTTTATCCCTAGGATTGTTTTTGCCGATTTCTTCATCATGAACCTAATTCTGTGGGGAGAAGGATCTTCTGCAGCTATTCCTTTTGGTACACTGGTTGCTATCCTGTCAATGTGGTTTGGTATTTCAGTGCCACTTACTTTTATTGGTGCCTACTTTGGCTTCAAGAAACATGTAAGTTTCTTTCTATTTATCCTTTCAAAATTATAATCTTCAATAGAGTCGACCCACAAGGCCTTGTTCTGTCTAATGCTTTAACAACTTCTTAGTAAATCTATTAAAAACTGTTGTTTAGTATGATCTTGCCAACTGCTTTTGATAAATGATGCATAAGATTAGATTTGGAGGGGGAGCAGTTTTTTTTCATTATCGGTACTTTTAGTAACAGGATGTATTTTGTTCAAGTACAGGTATATCTATGGATATGAAAGAATTTCTTTCTTCCCCATTGTTCCTCCAGTACATCAGTAATTGTTGTGATATAGTCAGTAAATGAATGGTGATATACCTGCAATAATAAATTTATCTGAGGTTTTCTTAGCCCTCAGCTTTCTATTTACAGTAATTTGCAATAGTTTAGTAAAAGTACCTTTTAGAAAATGATCGGGACAAATTGACCAGGTTAAGTGTGAAACCTGTTATAGTTCCTATTGCTGTAATTGATGATGCTTAGCTGCTTTTACGTTATTAAACTGGCAGTAAGACATACGCATGTTTAGTTCTTTGTTTGTAATTCAAGTCAATAGTAAAATGTATCACTCTTGGTTCTTTGTAATTTAATGCTATCATCAAATGCAATTCCCCTTACAGGTAATGGAACACCCTGTTCGCATAAATCAAATCCCACGTCAGATCCCTGAACAGTCATTTTACACAAAGCCATTGCCTGGAATTGTTATGGGTGGTATACTGCCCTTTGGATGCATCTTTATTCAGCTGTTCTTTATTCTGAATAGCATATGGTGAGCCTTCTTAGAAAAAAANTATAAATGCAAACAAAGACAGAGTGCAATTGCAATAAATGTCATGTACCAAACTGTTGTAGAACCAAGTGAGTAAAGAGATACCATACTTTAGAAACTTTTCTAAACATTTTAGGAAAGTTAATGTAGGATTCAGAGGCTGGTCTTGGGAAATCTACCCTTTTTGTGCAGCTGTAGAACAGCTCACATTACTTGAGTTGCATGGACAGTTTATTTTCTGAAAAAGTATTTTATGTAACTTAAAATAGCTTAATTTTCATATTTGCAGGTCTCACCAGATGTACTACATGTTTGGTTTCCTGTTCTTGGTGTTTATTATTCTGGTGATCACGTGCTCTGAGGCAACTATTCTCCTCTGCTATTTCCATCTTTGTGCTGAGGTATGTTCCGATGACAAGGTGACAGTCTATGGATTTGCATTTACATTAGCAAAGCTCTAAAAAACACATTTTGGTTTAGAACTCCTTTTATCTGACCAAATTGAAGTTTAATGTTTCTTGGATTTATATTTCATGGGTATGTGAAAAAAAAGTTAAGAATCAATAATATATACACACATTATAAGGACTCTGGCGGGAGGACTTTGGCGTTTTAAAATTAAATTTTGTTGTTGCCGCGGCTTAGCTTTGTCTGTGTTCTTTATTTTGTTCCTGCCGCTTGGCTACGTACGTGCTCTGTGCAAAACTGAAAATGACTCAGGAACGATAAGAGATACCTGAAAACAAAAATGCTCATGTGACTCCAAGTTGCAAGGCCTTTCCAGTGAGGTATAAATCATGTCTCTACACCAATCGGTTATTGAGATCCTTCTTGAAGCGCAGACAGACATTGTCATTTTATTAGTATAGAAGATTCATCACTGAATCCTCCCTAAAAATTAGAGACTTGTTCTAGTATTTGTAACATCAACATCCAAAGCAGCTTCTCAGTCAGAATATAGAAGATATATATATGTGTGTGTGTGTGAGTGTGAGAGAGCAATTCATTTGTCACATTACTGACTGGTTGAGCATCAAGAGGTCTGTTTCTAAATACATTTCTTGTCAGTGACAATAAATCAATGTTTAAAACTTATCCCTGTGATATTTACATTGCTTACATCTGAGTTAAGTTTTGTGCTGAACCAACATGTGCATAGTGCTGTACATACACCCTCTTTTGAAATGTGTTTTTTAAGCATGCGATTCAATTATAAATAAGCTCCACTGTATTTTCTGAAACCGATCTGCAGGCAAAAAAGTACATAAGCCTTCCTGACAATCTACGATAGTAGCTTGCTGACAGGTCTGTTTGTTACATCAGCTGAAAATCTGTTTTGGAGTGATTCCTGGGCAAAGAATATTGTGGAGTAATTAGCTAGAATTCTTTAAGAATTAAGCCAAATTTGAAAATGCTCAGGCATTTGAAATCTGTTAATAATATATTGCATTTATATAATACCGTTCGTGTAAAGAAAAGCACTTTTCAAATTGATTAGAAAATATTAGGTGCAGATCGGCAAGAGCCAAGATTTGACCCAAGTTATGAGTGAGCCAAGACCAGAGTGTGCTTTAGAGCACTGCTGTAGTTTAATTGTCTAAAACTGCATAGCTTGCCATTGCAAATAAATCTGAAAGTGAAAGATGGGTATTGATTGTGACCCTTCATCAAAATCCCCAATGAATGAAGGGTCATACTTCTTCATACGTTAACTTCTTTTGTCTTTCAATATATTGATGTCTACATTTCTTCCCCTCGCCCCGTCTCATTCTCTTGAAATTAAAGTATATTTCAGTAAATGTATTTGCCCAACATTTAAGACGAAGCAAAATGACTCCAATGAAAGTTGTGCTAATTCCAGCTCAACGCCAAGAGGCCCTGCTTGCCTCCCCATCCCCAACACACAGGATTCTTCAAGAGTATGGCAATATGGAACTGAAAGGATGTTTACTTCTACTTCCACATTATCTGAGGCCTTTTGAATTCCTTCCCTCATGGGATAACCCAAACATTCCATCAACTTTGTGTCCTACGAAAAATACAGCATCTTATATTTTTTGTAGGACACAATTGGTGGAAGAGCTCTAAAAAATAGAGACTTGTTCTGGTATTTCTAACATCAACTTCCAAAGCATCTTCTCAGTCAGAGTCGGTGATAGTCAGGGTTCTTTCTAACAGGCTTTGTGTTTTTTTGGATGATTTCCCCAAATCACAATTTTGCTTTAATGAATGTGGGATGGAGACTGATCTCAATACAAAAACAATTGATTACTGAGATGCATTTATCATCATTATTAAAATCAAGAGAGATTGCATTGGGAAAAATATATTCAATTGTATCCAAAGCAGCTGACTAAAAAAAATAGATTAGTAGGTTTAACCTTCAGCATTGCCTGGAGGAGGAAAACAAATACTAACGAAAGTTGGATAAAATCTGTCTTAACCTAAAGGTGTAAGAAAGGTGATGCTTAATTTAGTGCAGTATAAATAATCAAAATACTTATGTTATTTAGTGATTTAAAAATATAAGGAAGTGGCAGACCACTTTGCATTTGTGAGCCAAACAAAATATCTACAAAGGGAGATGGTAATAATTGCATTTGAGTACTGTCAGTAGTTCAATGGGTAATGTATTGAGCGTTAGAGACAAAGCTTTGATATTACATTATTATTGCAGGGCTATGAAGCAATTATGTGCAGTTTCCATCCTAATTTATTTTATCATTTCAGGACTACCATTGGCAGTGGCGATCATTCCTAACAAGTGGATTTACGGCAATATATTTCTCAATCTATGCAGTGCATTACTTCTTCACCAAACTCCAGATTACTGGGACTGCCAGCACCATTTTGTACTTTGGATACACTATGATAATGGCCTTGATCTTCTTCCTTTTCACGGGTAAGTCAAAAGAAAACTTGCATTGCATAAAATATCACCTAGACCTTCAACACACGTCCCAGTGTAAGACTTGAACCCACAAGCTTCCCCCACAGCCTCGAGCTCCCAGTCAGTGCATGTAACATCCTCCTGGTGTGAAAAGTGCTAAATAAATGCAAATTATTGTACAATATTTTTCAATTATCAATGATTCTGGAGAGATATTAAGTTTGGAGAACATCTTGTTTGGGACTGAAAAACATCTGAAATGTGTAAAACTTAGGGTAGGGTGATATTAATGACACTGGTTCTTCCCTTCCGATTATAGCAGTTGGAATGCAATAATTTCACATTAACACCTTGAATTCTAGCATTAGAACTTAGGCAAGTGTATGCTGGGAGTTGATGGTGTAATTGAAATCAGTTTATTATGATGCTATCTACATAAATTTGATATATATATTTCTAGTTCAGAGGGTCAACATATAAATGTTTAGATTTAGTTTTCCTTTTTCTTTCTTTAAGGGCTGGGCTGCAGATGGTTTCTCCACACATCCAGCCTCCAACTGCCTGCTTACAGGATTCATTAAATCAATGAAGCAGTTATTAGCAGCTTCTGATTTAATTGCAAATATCACAGGCTTGAGGAACATAGTATCTAAAATCGTGAAACATTTTTGGTAAATGAGACCAGGAAAATGGCCAATTTATTTCAGATTAATTTCTGTCCATTTAAATTGGGTGGTGGGGTGGGGGCGGGGGGGAGGATTTACCTCTCTTTATTTAACCTACTGTTGAACTATGTTGGCCTTCCAGAAGAAATGGGGAAGCTTTTCTATTCAAAACTGAGTATGTTGTATATACTGCTTGGGGACATAAGGGCTGTGAGGGTAAATCTGTAATTCTCCTCTTAAAGCATCAACAGTACAAAAACGAGTGTTAGAAATACTCTACATATGTTTATTCAGCTAAAAGGGAAAGACAGAATCAGAAAATATTCAGTGTTGCAATTCCTCCTGATGGTGCCCTGCTGTTATGTCAGTAGTTCACTTGCTGTAGGCATCGATATTCCTGTTGCATTCCAGGTCATTGGTTAGCCTCAGCAGGCAGAATGCCACTAGCTGCAAGATAGATCTCTTTGATTCACAGCTGGGTTGGTAACAAGGTATCATAGGCAATGAGTTGGTAAAACATCAGTGATTTGCAGAGCTTGAAAAATTGTCATGATATCATTTGTGTTTCATAGCTTGAATTACTGGTTAGTAAGAAAAGTAGGTCTGAGAAATGAATAAAGAAATTAAAAGGAATGTTTTTCTTTTTCTTTCCGTGCCTATACTATTACTGTATAGAATGTATTACTGATCACTGCAAACTAGTATTTTAATAAAAGCTCTTATTTTCTTGCAGGAACAATTGGATTTTTTGCATGTTTTTGGTTTGTGACTAAGATATACAGCGTTGTGAAGGTGGATTAATAGAAGAGAATCCTGTTTTTTGAGAAATGGACTTGTTTTAAACAAAGTTATTTTTACTGAATTAATAACATAGGAATGGGAGTAGGCCAATTCGTCCATCAAGCCTCTCCAACTTATTACTCCATGACAGATATTTGCTTTCTCTTTAATACCAATTTCTCTGCTTTTATCTCCGTACTGTTCACTTCTAAATTTCTATCTATATCTATCTTTCTATTTCTTTTACACATCTCAATTCATTTTGCATTAATGGACTTCAGGGGAAGACAGTGCATTCTTTAGACTCACAACTTTTGTGTGAGAGTGTTATGGATTCCCTTTTTAATCAGCTTAGTTACAACTTTAAAATGATGTTCTTGTTTTGAATTTCCCTGCTATAGGCAATAGTCATTCTGTAACTACCATGCTACTTTCCTTTATTTTAAAGAACATTATTCACCATAAATCTCGTCAACTTGAGGGAATATAACCCTTGCTGTACCTAGCCTTTCATCATAGCTAATACCCGTTTCATACAGGGTATCTATCATTCTGAAAATTATTACTTGACCTTCAAAAGCATATACTGTATCCTTCTAAAAAAACAAAAAAAAGGAGTGCCCCAAACTGAACACTACTTCAAATGAAGTTTAACTAATGTTTTGTATAACTGGTTCCTTTTAGGTGGCATACATCTTGTGCTAAAACCATTTGGCTGTTTACACCAGCAAAATATCTTCTGAATTATGTTTCTAGCTCCTTAAATGCCTTTTTGCTTCCCTTTTCCTTAACCTTGTGCTTTACCATTTAGAATGCATCTCCATCTTGTATTCAAAATGTACAACCTCACACTTAACTACATTGAACTACATCTGTCTTCAATCTGCCTATTTCAATTTTTTTGCTCTCCATTGCAATTCACTGCATCAAGTGAAGCCTTTGGAATTATTTTGCTACCTGCACATGAAAGAATCTAGTAAATGAGAACTCGCCTACAAAACACTGACACTACTGCTGTAATTTACAGCATATGGGTACAAACCAATTGGAATGATTGAACATATTTTGTTTAGAAGATTTACCAATTTACCTTTTATGTTAAAATCGATTTTGCTTGGTGGGGGGTGGGGGGTATGTGTTTAGTTTCTATTGCCTCTTTGTTTATATATTGCACTTTCTTTCATTATATATTTCTGTTGGCACAGTTGTTCAGAAAGATCCAGGTGACATAATAATAAATGTGTAAATACCAGCATATGTCTTCTACTTGAAATAATACTCAAAATACCAGTATATTAAAGGCTGCAAAACTCATTGCAATAAAGCCATAAAATCTGGTTTCTCATTACCTGACTGAATTTATTTTGGTACTTAAGGCTTATCACATTTTGACATCTCTCATCACTTCGCAGTGTTCTAATTTGTAGATGTTTGTACAAAACTTTGGTGCTCGTAGCATTGACTTCCAGCTCTTGCTAGCTGTCCATGATGACAATGGTCTTCAGTTGCATAGAAAATTCTTAATCCTACCTTGTAGCGTGCTTTTGTAAGTTAAATTTATTAGATAAATTTTCATCTAGAAAGAATATTCTTAATTTGGATCTTACTCTCACCCATGATTTCAAAATAAATCTTTCTGTAAATTGTAAGAAAAAGAATAAGAAGCTAAAGAGTAAAATAAAGTAATAGAAGGGGCAAGGAGTCTATGGACTCGATAAGGAAGAAGTAGAATACATTTTTTCTTCATCCATGCTTGCACAAGTATATATTTAATACATTAGCAAACAAATATCTTGCTACACCTTGAAGGGGGTCTGGTTGAAAAACATTTTTGGCCTATTTTAGTGATTCTGGCTCAGACTACTGTCTATTTTAAGATTTTATTTTAGTTGCATGGTGAAATGTAAATAATATTTACAGCAATTGGGGGGGATGACAGAGTTTCTAATCTTTGAGGGATAGCTTAAATATTCACTATTATTGTGAATGAATATTTTACATGGATTTGTTCTTCATTAATAAATGTATTGGGTCCTTTTTTAACTGATTTGTCATTTGAATACTGTGTCTTGTATATTTTGTTTATTTTTGATCGGTCGGGTGGTCCTTTGCCTGTTTTACACTATGTACCTCTGAATCGCTCAACTTGAAATCTATGATCTTTTGTTGAATAAATCTTCTGTATAAAAATATTTTGTGGTGTTATCTTTAATTGGAAGACTCATGAGGGTTAATTGAATTTAGGAATTGTTTATACCATAAATGCTTTAATCGTGCTGCACCCTAACTTAAAAGTAATCACCTGACTGACTTTATATTTCTAACTTGACTTTGTATCGGTAAATATCAGATATTGTACTTGAGAATTTGTAATATTGTTAGTATGTGAATGCTATTTAATAATTCAGGTAATGTAGGTGTTTCTTTGATTTTAAGCAAATGTTTGCATCAAATAATTTCAAATCTTAAAGTAATGAGATTTAATATATTCAACTTAACAATACTTTCAATGCTTTGGCTTCACACAGCCTCCTTTGTGCCAGATGTAATACTACAAACCTTTCTCTATTTTGATAAATACCTGTATAAATGAGCTATTCATTGTACCAATAAATGTTACAGTATGGCACAAGGTTATTTGTCCCATCCACGCTCTGAAAGAACTCCATTTTGACATATTAACCATACCCCTCAATTATTAACACTTCAATCAGGTCACCTGTCAAACGTTTTTGTGAAAAAAGCCCAAGTCTATCCAGTTTCGCAATGAAAGATTCTTCTTCTTTCTCTACTGTACATGTTTCATTCCTTTTTGCTACACTTCCAGAGCTCTCAACCACTCCACTATCCACTCATCACCCATCTCCAACAAGGGGACAATTGGAGTGAAACCTGGTTGATTTTTCTCTTCTAACCTGAGATTATGAGGCCAATTTTACAGACCTGTTGCCATGCTGTTTGAGACGAGCTAATTCAGCATAGATCAGGAATCAAACCTGGAAACTTCCTGCGACTTATGTTGCTCAGATACTCATTCACTGAACCATTGAGCAGTGATTCATTTTTAATGTTCCAGTCAAATCTCAACAACAGCTTTCATTTATATAGTGCCCTTCATATATGACCATGTCTCTGCATTTCACGGGGATGAGTGGGAAATGACTAGATGTGGACATAGAGATAGGCTTTGGAATTTAACTAGCTGTACCCGTTGCAGCTTTGCTTGCCACCAAAGGATCCAAAATTGAAATGTAGATTGTCAGTCTCTCTCCCAGTCTCCCTCACTTTTTCTCTCTCTCTGTCTCTCCCACAAAATAGTCACTACGCATTATAATATTCACTCACAGATTTTTTTTGTCTGTAAGACGTAATTATATACTGTATATCACAATAGACACAATCTCACAATGGGTATAATTCACAACTGATTGACGTAGAGACATTGTTTAAGATACCTCATATTTTGGGCCTAATTTTTAATATAGTTCATCAACGATAGGAGATTCCCAGAAAAATATGCCCATGACACTGCCAGTTGCAAGACCTTTCCGGTGAGGTATAAATCATATCTCTATGTCAATCGGTTATTGCATGATTGTCGGATATTTGTGGAGTCCTGTAGCTCAGTGGTTAGAGCACTCGCTTTGCAAGCGAGAGACCGGAGTTCAATTCCAGGCAGGGCGAAACCTTGAGCAAGTTTCCTCACTCCACACGCCTAATAATAATCCCTCCAAAACCAAAAACAATAATAAATTGGTCATTTTCAATTTACAACTGTTTGTGGGACATTGCTGTGTCAATTGGCTGCCGCGTTTGCCCACAAATATACAATCAATTCACTTTACAGTGTGTTCTGTGAAGCGTTTTGGGACGTCCTCCCGACGTGAAAAGCGCTATATCAAATGCAAGGATTATTATTATTATTATATGCAAGATACACAGACAGACACAGAGGACATACCATCTTTATTAGTACAGAAGGTAGATTCAGAGGGGTTTAGGTGGAGAGGGTGAGAGTGTAATTGCTGAAGGCCTAACCACCAATGGTGGGATGGAGGGTGATGGAGACAAGCAGCCAGTCCAAACAAAGGAGGCAAGCAGCAGAGTGGGATAATAATCCTTGCATTTCATATAGCGCCTTAACTGATCTTCGAGAAGTCTCAAAGCGCTTCACAGAATATACTGTAAATTGAATTAACTGTATATTTGTGGGTGAAACGCAGCAGCCAATTGCGTACAGCAGAGTCCCACAAACAGTCATCGATTGAAGTGACCAATTTATTATTGCTTCTTTTTCTTAAAGGATTATTATCGGGCGTGTGGATTAAGGAAACTTGCCCAAGGTATTGCCCTGCCGGGAATCAAACCTAGGCCTCTCGCTGGCGAGGTGAGTGCTCTAACCACTGAGCTACAGAACTTGTTACTCAAGTTCTACCAGCCTGGCTCATCAGCAGGGATTGGAGGAACAGATAAGGACTTCTCACTTAGCACCTGTTATCCCCCCGCGAAAACTCTAACTGACAGGATAATCCTGGCTGAACAAGTAGTAGGAAGCTTGTCAGTTTTAATGGCAAGATATGTGGGTTTATCTGGTTAAACTCCAACATCTACTCTGTGCTTTTGAAGCTCGGCTCCTGTCAATCTGTGCCGAATACTCTGGAATTAAGTTATCAGGGGATGTTCTTCCATTCCAGACGGGGATATTTCTAAAAGTAGCTGGCATACTTATATGGAACTCTGTGTGGTTTGAGATACATTAAACGTGGCGATGGGCTTCTGCATGTGACAGACACCTGTCTGACATCCAAAAAATATAATCTATGCTAAAAGTTAAAGTTAAGCAAAATATTATGTAGAAACAATGGTTTATGTGCTGCTGGAACCTGGTAGGAGGTGAAAAGTATTCTGTGAAGAATGGCAAGACAGCATTTATTACAGAACAGGTGGGCATACATGTACATTGCAGAGTTATAGCTTGAGTGTGTTAAGGATTTGTGGGGATAAGAATATCACAGGGATATGAAGGTTAAAAATATGTACAACTGCTGGAATTGTGATTGCCTAAGAAGATCTCAGTATTAAACCATTTGAGATTCCTTTGCCCACCACTGTTATCAATCAACACAATTTTGTCAAAAATGTTTCTCATTCTGTTTCCAAAGTTTTGTCGTCAATTCCAATCTTCATTAAGATATAATTGACTTAGAATATATTTTTAACAAACAATAGTTATTATAATTAAAAACTATTGTTTGCCATAAATTGTATCAATTAGCACTATTTAAAAATAAACAATGGTGGGAGGAGAGATGGGGTGGTACAATGCTGTAAAAAAATAATGTCTGAATACAACACAATTCCCTTAGTGCACTTGGTATAAGATGAATCTCCACAAACTAAAACACCTTTGTCTCTGGCCTTGCTCTTTTGGTTTTCCACGTGGAAGCCCTTTTAATGCTTCTGTATTCTCTGGTATATTTTGTTTCCTTTGTAATTTTTCTATTATCCCAATTCTTTCCAGCTATGATTTGCCAATATTTTATCTCATAATGATATCTATTTAAGTTTAAATGCTACTTTTTCTACAAAATAGCTTCATACATTTGATATAGATTATAGGTTTCTGTTTCACTTTAGATTTAACTACAGGATATTTAATTAGTCATTTTTAATGGTTTACTCAAATCATATTAAAATACCACAGAATTGAGAGTAACTTTCATACTTTAATTAGTAGTTTCCAAGAAGCATTCATATGTTCAAGTCTGGATTTTGGTTTTCAGATCCCTGTGGTTTAACAAGCTGGATATGAATATATTCGTAGTTCTAATAATGTCTCTCTGAGGAGTAGTTCAGTTCACAATGAATATGTTTCGAAAACTGCAATAATGAGCATTGCAGAAAATTAACACTTGTGTGTACCTTTGTGAGTACGTTTTCATTTCCTATTGGAGAGGGACAAATGAAGTGAATCCTTATTTCCTTCCACTTATTTTCTTGTTTATATGACTAATAATGAGTGGTAATGATAGGTTTTAAAACCTATAAACGTATTTGTAATCCCTACTAAGTACGTTTCCTAAGTGTTTAAATTATCCCCAGGATTGATCTTTGATGGCCTCCTCCAGACTGTCACTGGATCAAACGTGTGGATACCTCTCTGGTTGCACAGCCCATGGCCTCACAGCCGAGCCCGGGCTGTGAAGAAAAAACATGTGGGGATTGCACCAGAGGACAACTGGTGCTCGGTTGAAACTTAGCACAGCAAGAAATTAAAGGTTTTATTCAGTGGGGGGTGGTAGAAAATTGGTGGGGGAAGAGAAACCCCTATGAGGATTGGTACACTAAGTAACCTTAGTCCTTACCTCTTAATTGCTCTAGAAATTCAACATAAAACAGGAACGCCCAAGTGAAAAGTCTGAACCTCGTCAATGCACTGCCTGACTGCTTCCTGACTCGGTGTGTTACAGAGCCCACGAAAGGCATCTCTTTTCCAGACCGTTCTTGTCAGTGCCCCAAACACAGTTTAGGAGCAGAGTCACGGGGTAACCTTCTTACAACACCCATTTCATCACTAAAATTAGGTACATTGGACCGGGTCTGCGAAAAACAATGGCTGCCGACACACTCTGGGGCAGGGCTGTGGGCGGTGGAGTCAGGGCTGTTGGGAGGGGGGTGTCAGGGCTGTTGGGGGTTGGGGCGGGGCTGTTGGGGGCGGGGCTGTTGGGGCTGTTGGGGTCGGGGCTGTTGGGGGTTGGGGGCGGGCTGTTGGGGCGGTTGGGGCGGGGCTGTGGTGGGTTGGGGGCGGGGCTGTTGGGGGTTGGGAGCGGGGCTGTTTGGGGCGGGGCTGTTGGGGGTTGGGGGCGGGGCGATTAGGGGCGGGGCTGTTGGGGGCGGGGCTGTGTGGTTGGGGGCGGGGCTTTTGGGGGGGGGCTGTTGGGGGTTGGGGCGGGGCTGTTGGGGACGGTTGGGGCGGGGCTGTGGGTGGTTGGGGGCGGGGTTGTAGGTGGTTGGGGGCGGGGCTGTGTGGGACCTGTGTTGGGGGCGGGGCTGGATCTCGGCTGCACCAATCGCTGTGGCCGGGGGGGGGGGCGGGGCGGGGCCGGGCTGCAGTGGGAGCCGCCATGTCGGGCCTGTGGATCTGGAGCAAGTCCTCGCTGTGAGTTAGTGAGAAGTGTCCGGGGCGGCGCTCGGGTTTGCGGTGAGGATCGGGAGGGGATAGCACACACAGTGTTCATATAACATCAATACTCCTGACATGACAGCAATGGTATTAACATCACAATATAAACATAAACCATAACATTGATTAATGCAACAATATTAATATGACGTCATCATTAAAACACAATAATTACTAATGATTAATGTTGCATTTAATATGCCTTTCACATTAGGGGGATGTCTCGAAGCCGTCACAGGATGTTACTGTAAAGCAGGTATTTGTGGGTGAAACGCGAGAGTCAATTTGTGCGCAACAATGTCCCACAAACAGCGATGAAGTCAATGATCAGTTTTACTTGGGGGATTGTTGGGCAGGAAACTGGGAGAAACTATCTTCTCTTTTCAAATATTACCTTGGGATCCTTAACACCCACCTGAACAGGCACAGGACAAGACCTCGGTTTAACATCTCATTCAAAGGATGGATACTATAGACCATAATATAGACAGTATAATGGCATCACAATAATATAACAGTAATATAATATAACAATGACAATACATTTACAGTAATACTAAGAACAATAATATCCATCATAATGATGTAACATTAATTATAGCAGTAACAATAATTAACAGTAACATTGTTAATAATAACATTTATAATAATAATAATTCTTGCATTTGATATAGCGCCTTATCACGTCATTGAGACATCTCAAAGAGCTTCACAGAATATATTGTAAAGTGTGGTGACTGTATATTTTGTGGGTGAAACGCGGCAGCCAATGGCACACAGCAGTGTGGTTGAAATGCTACCCCGCGTGAATGGCGCTATATAAATGCAAGTTGTTGTTGAGTGACCAATTATTTATGGATTTATTCACAATTAAGGAAACAACCATACCTAATTGTGTTGTAGAGTTGTTTTGCAAGCTTTTATTTATTGCAATAACCACAAAAATATATCTAATACACAATACTTACAACCTAACCCAAATATTTGGTACTTTTAATGGTTGGGTATTGATTTATTTGCTGTCTGTTTTGTTTTTGCAGTGCTTCCTGAATCGCATGTGTTCAAGATGTTTATATAATTGTTAAAACTAACAAACCAGAGTTTTCAAGCCACAAGTTTTTTTTTACTGCACCTAGCTTTCTAAGAAAATTATGTATGTTTGAAATATGATGAAAAGTAATCAACAAAGTTATACGTTTATTAGTTTGTAAAATGTGAATTTTACAGTGAAAGTGAGCTGCTTACTATAACTGACTTGAAACTAATTTAGACAAAAGTAGCAACTATTCTATTCTATACAAGAGAGAAATATCAGCACTTCCATTACATTAAGCTCATTTTGTCATATATTCTTTCTCTCGCTGAGTTTTTCTGCTTATCATACAAGATATGTCAGTGTAAGGGAATGGAACACATTTTCAGATTTAATAACAATAATGTTTGCATTTGATATACCATTTTACATCAGGAAGACGTTTCAAAGCGTTTCACCTGACTTGCTGTAAAGTACAGTGACTGTGTATTTTGTCCACATTGAGTAGTGTACTTTCAAGTCTAACATTCTCACATCTCCTTTTTGTTCTGTGGTAACAATATACCTTAAAAATGCTAAAGAGTAATAACCTTGGAAGGAAATGATGAACAGAAAATGTTCCATTTGAGGGACGGTGATAATGAAGTGCTGTATTGCTCATAAATTCATATTCATAAATAAATGAGCACTTCTGTAATATTTTAAATTTACTTTGATGCTACATTACTGTATTCAGACAGGTGGATTATATAAGGAGGATAAACAACATTCAGAAAGATCTGGACCAACTAAGCTGATGTGGCATGTGTGAGGCAGCAGGCTTTATGACCGTGGGAGGCATTGCAGCTGAGCCAGATTCAGTCTTCATCCAAAGTTCACACACTTGTATTCTTTTCAGAAGATTAGTTGATAACAATCAGGAGTTGGCACCCTGCTGAATTTTTTCTGAGTTAAAGGACACCAAAGTCAAGTCTTGCATCCATTTGTTCTCCTGTTAGATCAGCTAATTCAACACACAAAGGATTGAAATGGAATTTCAAATTTAAAAAATGAAATGAGTACATTTGTAAGTACACTACTGTTGTATTTAGCAAAATGTATCTATTCCATTTTTATTTGGTTTGGGAAAAGCTGCACATCAATGCAAATATAATGATTAAAACCAGGTAAGAATAAAAGTAGAATAAGATGTAGTGCGCTGAGAAAGTAATTCAATATCCCTGTTACCGAAAGCAAAAATTAGAGCAAATTATCACTGTAAAAAGCCCAGAGGGAACAATTTTAAAATGGATTGTGCATGACTCAAATAGAATATATTGGGAAAACAAAATCACTTGGCAAATCACCAATATCATCTATCTTCCACCACCCTCGCTCACACACCATACCTTCCCATTGACTCCCTATCCAGTTAAAGCCCTTCATCCTACAGGTTTCATTTCATTAAACACATACAATCAAAATTGCTCAGATGTGTTCACTAATTTTCACCTCATCTCTTAAATATATTTATTTGTGTTAGTATTGCTCCCTGGATGCCGCCAACAACTCTTCTACATAACCCACGTGGCTATTTTTAACTGAGGCAAACAGCGTGACAAGCTCACATCATAAACGCTATTCAGTTTTGGAATAACTACGGATTGTAGAATGTGCCATACCTGTAGTTGGCCATGTGAACACAATAGCATTCAAAATGCTGAAAAAAGTATTTACCCTTTATTGTACTAAAACATATACAAGTTAATGATATACAGATATACACGACTGACAAAAAAAATACCATTTCATCCAGTCACTGTATTACACTAAGTGTTCAGAGTGAATTAACAGCTGCGGATGTGGATGATCTGAACGTGCCCTGAAATGTGGCAGCAAGGAAAGATTTTAATTTGTGATTAGTAAAGCAGAACAAACAAGGCTAATATTCATTCTCTGCTAAGTGCTTTCAGATTTTTCATTTGTGAACGGCTCTGTATAAATTTTACTGAAATACAAAGTGAAAAGTTGTACATTTTATTTAAAAAAGCATGTTTAGATATTGTAATGCAGTGAATCCTGTGAAACACTTTTAGACTTCTGATGATGCGCTATATCAGATACAAGAATTATATTAACTTAAATCCCCGATATCCAGAGTATTTGTAATTTGTTATTTGTCTCTGTGTCTTTTGAAGAGAAATGCAGTCATATATTTTGTATGATTAGATGAAGTGCAAAAAGAGACTTAATTTGGCAATTCTCTCTATTTTGTGGCCATTGATTGGCTAATATTACAGACAGAGATGGCTAATTGTGCACTACAGTATTGTCTGAATGAAAAGGTTTTGAGTTTTGTTGCAGTTGCTAAGATGGATTTATACTACTGGAATTGAAGCTGCTTCTCTCCAATGTGGAATGGGGAGCCCAATTGACATTGCCCACTCACCATTGGAGCATGTTTGTTTTTTATTATGTTATAAATGCATGATTGATTTTTTAATAACATTAAAGAAACAATTAATTCAAAGCAGATATGAGAGAGAAAGTAATGAAGGGATATAGGAGTGGGGAAGAGGAGGGGTGGATGCTCGTGTGGAGTATAAACACTAGTATGGACGAGTTGGGCTTAATGGCCTGTTTCCGTGCTGTATAATTCTATGCAACTCCATGTAAAGCTTCTGACCATCCACTTGACAGAAAGAGAACCTGAGGGTTTCAATAGCCCATGAGGGACAGAGTACAATTTCCATGCGCATGTTTATACTGTACAGATTTACTGTGAGAGTCCAGCTTAGTTCAGGCTGTCTGAGTCCCTGTTTATATTACACATTTGGCGGCAATTAAACACCAAGCATACGGTGTGACCGCAGCATTAGCTGCCAAATACTTCTTTTATTAAGTAATAGGATCAAAGTTTCCTACTAGCAGGTAATTTAGCTAATGTTCCTCACCTGGAATCTATTTTTTTTGCTGCATGGTATATCAATCAAGGAAAATCACTTTCTTTGTGACAAAACATACTCCAAACTAAAATAGAATCTGTTTATTAAGAAATCAAAAGGAAAGTAAAACAAAATGTAAAAAGTGCAGGTTTGTTTTTTTATGAAAATAATTTTGGTTCCCTTATTAAAATTATGTGCACTTCTTCCTTCTGCAGGATTCTTATAATAATAATAATCATCATCATCATCTTTACATTCGGTATAGAGAGTTTCAAATAAAGAGGATGTGACTAAGCACTTCATCTGAGGGAGTGAGTGCAGTTTATTCCACTTTACAGTAAATCTTGTGAAGCGAGTTGGGACATCTTCCTGATGTGAAAGACACTATACTAAATGCAACGATTACTATTATTTTAGAAAGTGATTCAATTTAATAGTACGTACTAATTATATTTGATAAAGTGCCATGATTAACTTTAGCAAATGAAATGCAAATAATCTGAGCCTTTCCTTCCCCAAAGACCCAATTGGTAAAACCACATCCTTGTGCAAAAAGCAAAGTGTACGGACCTGGAAGGTTCCACGTTCAGTACTTAAATGAGTGTATTGAGTTAGCAGAGCTGATCCTAGCCAGAGCAAGATTTAAATAAATGAAATAAAATGATTATTGAGTGGAATATTTGGGGCCTTCTAAAAACTCAAGCCTTAATTCTGATATCTGCTCTGTGATCTTAGATGAAATTTAAAGCAGCTATTTTATCAGGGTTTAATATAGCATGCAAAAGTAAATTTCAGTAAACTGCGCACACCGGACTGCCCACCTTTTCCCTGCATTTTGCCCACAAAATACACAATCAATCCACTGCTCAGTCTTCCAATCCGTTCATACTCTGGCACCTCCCTAGCTCTCTGACCTTACTCTCCAACTCACTACCCGCTGCCTCCGCTCGACAAGCTCTGGTCTCCTGCTTGTCTCTCGTGCCCTCGTTCCACCATCAGTGGCCATGTTTTCAGCCACT